CTAATATTAATTTTTCTATAGCATTGAAACACAGAGAAAAATGCATCATCATAATCTTAGCAAGAGATAAGAGATAAGAGATGCTAACAGAGATATTGACATGGAGTTAATTTGCTCGTTTAAAAATAAAACTTAATATTTTAGCCTTTAAGGCATCTTTAAATTCAGCACTAATATCAAAATATACCAAATAACGCGTACCATTTTTTCTGGTGGAAAAACAGGTGTTTTTAATTGCCGCGAGAGTTTTTTGTTTGAATTTTGATAATTAGTAACGATGACCCTCCGGATCTTGGAAGCAAACACTCTAATGTATTTTATTAACCCGTGACTAATTCTAAAACAAAAGATCATTAATTTTAGTGAAGCAAAGCCAAAGTGCCTGCTGCTGACCAGGTATATCTAATCTGTTTTCTTGTGATATTTTATAACGTGAGAAAAAAGAAATCGACTTTGATTGAAGGTGAATTAAGAAGTGGTGGGATGCAGTCGAATTGACTTATGAATGGGCAACTATTATTTATATTTATATAGCAGAATTATGATGATTAAACCGTATAAGAAGAGTTGTATATTAATAGTTTCTGAAGATGTGTAATTAATAGACAAAACAAATTAATTGAAATAAAGATTAATTCGCCTAAAGCAAATTATTGATAGCATTAAAATATTTTCTTCTCGTTTTAATTTCAATTGAAAGTTGATTTTTTGGTAGGTTTCTTGGAATCCACTCATTGTGTGGTGAGGAAATTAGGTAGTGTCACGTATCGGCTATGTTTTTTGCGATGATGATTCAGTGTGCGTCTTATTAGTTCTCTCTATCAATAAGTTTTACAGATGATGCTCCCGACCTCTAACTTCTAACTCTTTTCAGTGCCCTATTCTAGAGCGTGTATTAGATAGTAACAAAAAATTGTATGTACATACGTATTTATTTATTCACGAAAATCAACAAAATCCATAATTCATATATAAACACAAGGCATATTGAAGTATAGCTATTTAATTGGTTGGCAGTCCATGGCATACTTTGTATGTTAAGTATGACGAATAGGCGGCGTACATATAATATATAGTATACTTGTGTCTGCTACAGAAGTGCCCTTGGCCATCTGTGCAGCGAGTTTGAGCAACGTGTGTTAGACGGAGATAGGTTGATAGCACATTCGCATCAGTAAGGTAAATTGCAGTTTGTATAACCACAACCTACGATATCTTGTGTGATTCAGAAGGCGAAGTGCAAGATCTTATATCTGAGACGAAGCTTCCGTTTTATGTAAGCACATTAAATTACATCAGAGGTATTTGAATTTATTCAAATAGCTTTTTGGTGGTAGATTTGTGTTTTTGTCTTATTAATCCATTCAACTCAACGCAATGTTCTACAAAATGATGTACGTAATTAAAAAATAGCATAAAAAGTCTTGCTTACTTCCTATTTTGTGTTAAAATTTCTTCGTCAAACTACATATCGTGTTTCTTAGAGACACATTTGATGTTTTCCAACATTTTAGTGGACAGTCGTATACACCGAAGTTTGTAGTAGAATGCTTGTTGTCAACCGCATAGAATGCTTTACTAAAGTCCACAAACATAGAATACTATCTCTTCTTATTTTAACCAATTGTAGGTCAGTGTCCTATTTATAGGTCACTAAAATTGATTTTTTTTCAACCATTAATTTTTTTAAATAAAAAAAATACCACTAATAAAAATTACTAATCAACATCATCATTGGTGTTACAGCCCTATAAAAGAGCTTCGACCTTCCCAAGTCTATTAAGCCAGACAGTTCTATCCATTGCCAACTGTTGCCAGTTTGCTGCGCCTATTATTCTACCATCCTCATCTACACCATCCCTCCATCTGAGTTTTGGCCTACCCCTACTTCTACTTCCCACAGATTATATTATAAGGATTCTTCTAGGAGGGTTGTTCTGCTGTAATCTTGCCAGATGTCCTGCCCATCTTAGTCTTCCTATTTTTATAAGAGCTACTACATCTTTACCACAAAATATATTTTTATATCTGTGATATATCCCGTAGTTTTACCTCCTTTTCCAAACACCATTTTCACAGATGCCACTGAATATTCTTCTCCTTCCTATCCTAAGATCCATCTGCCGTGAAAACGGTCCATGTCTCCGATCCATATGCCAACACTGGTTGTATAAGGGTTTTGTATAAAAATGACCAATATTCATAAATAAATCTCGGAAATATACATTGCTGAATCGTCAGTATAAAGATTGTTTTACTTTCCTATAAAATGGCCACTAGCTATATCAAAATATGGTATATTTCATCATAAATTAGCACTACAGCACTTCGTGAGCCCTGGGCTGCCTCACAACATTGTTTTATCCTTCCCTGTCGAGTGCCTGTCTTCTCCATCTCCTTACTCCAATCTCCCTTAAATAGTCCAGGTATCTAAGTTAAGGTCGATCTCTTCTTTTTCTTCCAACCGGTCTATTTAGCATGGTTATTTTAGCAGGATCACTTTCATCCATCCGCATACGTAACCCACCCATCTAAGGTGGTTTATTTTGATGGTTTTCACGGTATCTGCTAGGCTAGATGGAGAGATATTTTTTGTAAAATGGGACGATAATAAGTGTGTTACTATAGCATCTAATTTGGATAATACAGAACATCTCGGACAAGCTAGTAGATGAGATCACAAGCTCAAAGGAAAACGTTTAATTTCTCAACCAGAAGTGTTAAAAAATTATAATAACTACATGGGAGGCGATGATCAATACGACTATTTGGTTCGAAAATATGCCACTAAAATCCCAACTTCCACAAGATTGATTGATATGACATTAGTAAAGTCATGGCTTCCCTACAAACAAGTCAATAAGCCAGATAATACTTTATTAGTTTTTCGTCGATCTATAGATGTAAAATTAGATTGAAAAAAAAAAAAGATTAAAAAGCAGAGAAGATGTCAACGAGAAAATTATAAAGGCAAACCGCTAACATAATGTGTACCGTAACATTGTATAAAAATTGTTTTACACAGTATCGTAAAAATACTGTATAAAAACTTATTTTTATTAGATGTAAATAAAAGTTTTAATTCTCGTAACTGTTTTAAATTCATTCATACATACGTTCAATTATGATAATTAATCCTAACGCCCAGTGTCCTATTTATAGGTCTGGTCATAATACAAAAATGTAAATTGATTTCATGAATTAAGAAAAGATTACTGATAATTATGTATCAGTAACATTTTGAAATTGAAAAAAAATCATAATTTGGGCTTTAATTATAATTGTCAGGTTAAATAGTTGATCCACTGACAAATATCCCTTCCTATAATATACCTGGTATTCCGATAAAACCCCTGATCCTACCTATTAACAAAGACGAAAACAGTTTGACCACCTAGCGTTCAGGTAACTAATCCTCCTGTAGTGTAATCACTTGGTGAGTTTTCTTGTACAGATGAAACAATGACGATAGTGTCTGGCTAAACATTGTGTTAAAGGTAATAAATATTTTTTCTTTGGCAATCACATAGGTACCGAAAGCTTTATTATTCTAGTAAGTCATAGTAAGTCAAGTAATAGTTATAGTAAGTCATCTGCTACTCTCACGCAATACTTCCTTATTTGTTTCACAAATCTGTCTATACCTTTATCTACAAATATATATCCCCCACATAATGTACACCAGCTGTCCTAAATATTTTAACAAGGCTCATCACTTGATCTCTGAAAAGTCCACATTATCTATCAAATCATACTTGTCAGTCCTTTTCTATTACCCTCTATTCTGTTCATTTATTCTCACCTTCTCGACGGTCTCTCTGGTAATTCTTTACAGTTCTTCTACAAAGCTTTTAGACTTAATCGTTTACCTCCAGCCCCTAAATACTGTCCGCTGCCTTCTTTTCTTATTACTTCTAACTTGTTTGGTCTCCTTAAGTTTAGGTAGTAACGATAAAAAGTATTCTGCAATTGTCATTGATTTCGTTTCACAAATCTGTGTATACTTTCGCTTTATCTACAAATATATATCCCCCACATAATCTACACCAGCTGTCCTAAATATTTTAACAAGGCTCATCACTTGATCTGTGAAAATTCCACATTATCAAATCATACTTGTCAGTCCTTTTCTATTACCCTCTATTCTGTTCATTTATTCTCACCTTCTCGACGGTCTCTCTGGCAATTCTTTACAGTTCTTCTACAAAGCTTTTAGACTTAATCGTTTACCTCCAGCCCCTAAATACTGTCCGCTGCCTTCTTTTCTTATTACTTCTAACTTGTTTTGTTTCACAAAGAAATTCTTCAATCTCGGACTATCCTCTCGATATAGTGCATAGAAAAGTAATTTCTCGTTCATGACCTTCTAGGGACCTACCATTCAAAAGTACTAGATCACTTTCCGGACAATGTTCCATAATCATTTGATATTTTGAAGTTCTTATTGATATAAAGTACACTCCCTCTTATACATCTATACCCAGACTAGACTCTTTCACTCTTCTTCCGTTTACATCTCCTATAATAAGTCACCCCATCTCTCTAGGACACTATCAGTCAGTCGCAGTGTACCATCTCAGTTGAGTACATAGTAAGCATGTATTCTTTCGACTTCAACGCACGAGTCCCTCCTATCGGCTCTCGGTATGAATTTATACCCTAGCACTACGGATAATGGGACTTTCGGTCTAAAGAAAATTTAATTCTACAAGCTCTGCCGTTTCTGTAATTATTCGTTAAGCATTAAGCTTTAAAGTAGGCACCAAATTTGCTACATCCGAAATCAGAAACATTCGTTTTATTAGTAACAGTTTTATTATTAGCCACCCTATTTAAGCATAATATGCTGCTGTTTGTTGTAATTATATCATACCTTAAAATGTATAAATGTATTTTTCGTAGTCGTGCGATGAGGCACTACTCAAATAAACACCCGTATAAATGTTAACAGTGCTGGAAAAATGGTTTTAAGACTTCGAGAGTACTGAATAAAGCATTTTAAAATTTATAAAGTTTATTAAAAAAAAAAAAAAATAAACAATATATTATTAGAAATCTATTATGAATTAAGGAAACAGTTCATTCATCCTCAAATGTTTTCTTTTTCTTCTTTTTAACAGGCTCCAAACCGCTCGAAAACTCCGACGTCGTCAAACTGAGCGATTTTATCTTTTTCTTTTTGGGCGCTTTTGGTGGAGGAGCAACACTAAAAATAAACAAATATTCGATATTAAACAATTAGAACGAAATTAATAAATCACGTTTTAAATATGAAGATTAATTACGAAATAATAATTTTTCTAGACAATATTGCAGAGGATTTTTAAATCGGATACCCTGTATATTTTCGCATATTTAGATTTCTCTCATAATACCTATTCTTACTACGTAAAGTTGTACACTATTATACAGAGTATTTAATAATCAGTTATGACCATTTTTATTTTCATATCGCTATGAAATAAACACCCTGGACATAAAGAACAAATACATAAATAATTATTCATTTTACATAAATTAAATATATGTTCTAGTTGTCACATTAAGCTTAACAGATATCATTGACGAATATTCGTATACAGGGTGAACTACAAATTTTTTTTTCGATTTTCTCATCGTAAAAAGACTTTAAAGGCCACCTAGTTTGCGTATGACTCTTAATACAGTAAGGATTGTTTGATGTGTAATAAAAATGATGCCGATTCACTGTTTCATTTTTGTGAAATGTACAGTGAAGTTATTACGAAATAAACTCTTATTCCTCGAGAATCACACCCTAACCTAACATCCCCTTAAAATATAAAATTAATCTAAAAACTGTTACGTCTATTGCATATTGTTTTAACTTGTTTTTTATCAGATTTATTGAACAAGACTAAATTTCATAGGCGCGTAGCGGAGTGCAAGGAGGTGCAATTGCATTTCTCTGTCCGGAAAGAAAGTACATAGCTTACTTGACAAATCAGATGAATCGTCCTGAATATAATCCCGGTGGCACCCATGCCAAATTTTGTTATATTAGCATACTTTAAATCTACTCACGAAATTTCAAAAGAACTAAAAATATCTCGGAAAGTAATGAGATTAGGTGTATAGGAAATACTTCATAAAAATGAAAGATTATCATAGATGCAATCTTTTAAAAAAATTAAAATACAGGGTTGTACGTTTGTACAGTGAAATACGAGAAAATAATATATTCTTTTATAGTTCACCCTGTATTCGAATATTTGTCAATTATTTATATTAAATTAAATTTAAAAACTAAAACGTATTGTTTACCTTATTCTGTAGACTGAATACTTATTTATACATTCCTTCTTTATATACATTTCATTTCATAACGTTTTCCAAATAAAATAGTCATAAATACTCTGTACAGTAGTAGTAAACCTCATATTGTAAGAACAGGGATTATGAAAGGAATATAATTATGCGAAAATATTGATTTTTATTTACAAAATTGCATGTTTACTTTATCACGTGGTTATTAATCACCATGTAGAATTCGGAATTTCTTGTATATAGATATTTCTTTCCGTTTCAAGTTTAAAAATTAGTCTATACATAATTCATAATATCGCAATCATCAGAAACAAGTTGTGGAACTGAAAAGAATCGAATAGTCCACTTGATGGTAAATGATACCATACAATGTACTAGTCATCGAGCAAAAAGACAATAAGGGAATCTAATCGTTATGAAAAGGAGACCAAAAAAAGTGGCCTCCGATGGCGGACATATCCTGAAATACGAATGCGCCAAATTTAAGGTAGCTATAAAATATTTTTCAGAATGAGTCTTAGACGAGAAAGTTTTAATTAAATAATAACGATAATAGTCTAAAATGTGACACAATTGTTAAAAAACTTCAATATAAATAAGATTTCATGTGACAGTTGGGACAAACAATAACATAACCCAACTAAATTTGATTTCTTAAACAAGGAAAGACTCTCTTTCCTTGTTTAATGTGGCCTGTCATTTCACTTTCTGTATAACAATATTTTTGCCCCCGCTACCTTTACATTCCCTCTTTTGTCTTTTTTTCTCGATGGTACACACTTATAGCGACCTCTGTACGAAGAAACACGAATTCAAAAAACTTCTCATTATCGATGGCGATTTATATAAATATCGTATAGAATTTTAGATGTTTAAAGAAATACATGTTGAGCTTCAACTATTTTTAAAAGAAAAAGGATAAAACAAAGAGGAACTAAGATTTATGAAGAATAGGGGGCCAAAATGTGACGTTTAAGACGACAGAACCTTAATACATTATGAAGAAGGCACTGCCTGGATAAATTTGCCATATACACCAAAGTGTTATCAGAAGTACAATTTTCATTTATTTATTTTCTGTATTAATGTAATAATATATTTTCATAAAGTAAACAAGTTTCCTAGTTGTATATTTGAAAATTCCTCTGTAGTATTTACACTTCAAGTACGCGGGTAAATATTTTCATCGCATCCAAACTCATTATTCGTCGTCATCAACGTGAAAAATAGGAATTGAACGAAAAAAGAAAAAAGGAAAAATTAACACGCATCTGGCGGCTTTTCATAAGCTCCCGGCTCGGACGGTAACGAAGAAGCCGGTACACATTAATTTATAATTCATTGTTTTCGAAGGTATAAATTGGATATGAACTTAATAAAGTATAAAAATGAAAAAAGTAATAAATCTAATGAAGCAGCCGCTTTTTTTGTGGAGTGAAAACTAACGATTAATCATGAGGATTCATTAATTACCGTTCTCGTATACGGTGGACGTACTGTCGGTCAGAAGTTGATGGCAGAAAGGAGAGGAGTACCGCCATTTAACTAGATCAAAACATTAAATGCGCCGCCACGACTACTATTACATGCTGTAGCTACCGCTTTTTTCGAAAAAAAAATCTAAATTTCTTCACTGTAGGAAGTCGATTATTAACTATTTTTCTTCTGGTCTATTCAACGTTATTGCAGCTCTATTAATGCAAAATAAGCTTGTCAATAATCATATTAATTACTTTTCTGTACTTAGTACAATATACACACGTTCTGAGAAAGGCTAACATTGATGCAAAATCATCCAATTGCGGTATCAAGCTGCTATTTGATCTGTTTTCATTAACTTGAAAATTTTAGGAGCAGAAGTTGATTATACTCCTCACTTAACAGTAATGGTTCTTCGAAACGAACAATATCAAAAGCAATAATAGTTGTTTGCGAATGACACAATTGTGTACGATATCCTCTATTCGTTTACCAGAAGTGCCCAGAGGACAAGTTAAAGCTAAAGAAGCATCTGTGGAATATCCCACCAGTCGTTTTTTATAAGTTAGGTTACATTTATTAATTAAAATATAAGCTTGAGAATAACATCGTATTAGCCCAATACATTGGATGATTCAGGTCAACGTTAAATAAAGAATTCATGAGTTGAGTCGAAAAACCCTTTGCGCAACCTTGTAGAGTCAGTAGAAATTTTGTGTCATAGATTTAGTATTTAAAAACTTTTGGCTTCACGATATATTATTTTAGTAGTAGAGTTCAAACACTGTCTCCAGTTTACGTTGTCGGACTGACTTGGGTTAAGATTGTCATGCTGAGTTAGTTATCAATAAAGAACGAAAAAGTAAAATCATATTTTTTGAGGTGCAACATGGAAAATCGTTTCGGCTAGCCAGGTGAGGGTACAATACCATATATCATATATACTTTAGGGAAACTATCTTATTCTAGAAACTGGAATAAGCTCTGAGGTACTTTAATCGGTTCTGGTACAAAACTATCTAAATCGGCGATATAGATGGAATTTAATGATCCATGATTTTACCCATTTTAATGATCCATGATTTTACCCACAATATATATATCAAAATGCCACTATGAGGATTCAGCTAGACAGAGATTTGCAAACTCCATTAATTAGAATTTGTAGAGGTGTCAGACAAGGGGATACAACCCAAACTATTTACTCTGGCGTTGGAAGACATTTTTAAATCTATAGACTGGGACAATAAATTTATTAATCTCAATAAATAGATTTGTATAAACGGGAAATATTTAAATCATTTAAGATTCGCCGATGATGTACTCCTGATAGCAACAACTATGGAACAACTACGAATAATGATTTCAGGCCTAGAAAAAACATCTCTTGAGAAAGGACTAAAAATGAATCTAAAGAAAACTAAAATAATGACTAATACAGAGGACAGATCAGTAATTACCATAGGTGGAACAGACATAGAACACGTCCAAGAATATATTTACTTAGGACAAGCTATCAGAGCAGGCAAAAGTAAGCAAACTAAAGAAATAACCAGAAGAATAAGAATGGGGTGGGCTGCATTCGGAAAACTCTCATATACTATCAAAAACCAAAAAATACCTTTAAAATTAAGAACGAAGGTATTTAATGCATGCGTCCTACCTGTTCTGACATATGGTGTCCAGACGTGGACGTGTACCAAGAGCAACTTAGATAGAATAAAGAAAACTCAAAGAGCTATGGAAAGACAAATGTTGGGAATATCGTTGAGAGATAAAAAGAGGAACGAGTGGATAAGATGCAAAACCGAAACAACAGACGCTGTCGAACATGCATTGAAATTAAAATGGAAATGGGCTGGGCATAATGAAAGATATTAGGATGGAAGATGGAATAAAAAGATTGGGCGTTGGAGACCATATACTGCAAAAAGGTCAAGAGGTCGACCGCAAATGAGATGGAAAGATGACATTGAGCAAAGCGCAGGTCCAATGTCGAAAAGACAAGCAGAAGACAGAGACAAATGGGAGAGGCCTATATTCAACACATGAATAGATTTATGATTTTACCACTATCGACGATATGATGATAGATGATTTTACCACTATCGACAGCATCTTAAATCGGGATATATGATGTGGGCGTTCCAGACACGAACAGGAGAATATTGAGTTCAACACGATGTAGGATTTCTGGAAACCAACGGGACAATACGCTGCAGCAACGGAAAGCTTTCTTACGCTCGACTACAAGTTGAACGATTTACAACAGACGATTTACAGTGAGCTTCATAGAGACATGGACTGCAGCTCTTTAAAGAGATGCCGCGAACCCAGATCTCATGCTACATAATAGTTATTCCCAACCCCAAGCACTCTACTACCTCACGCCTGAAGCTGTCACTCCTAAGTGTGGGGAAGCTATTGTTGTAGTTTTTAGATTTTGTCTAGCGTTAGTTTTCTCTGGTAGTCATCTGTTGTTGTGTCCTTAGTGTGTTTTGTGGAGGTATATAACCTAAAGCCTTTCTTTCGAATTTCTAGCCTTTCTATCGAATTTTGACCACCATTAAACGGGGAAAGACAGCATATTTGGGGCATATACTTACAAATTATAAGTACGAGTTGTTGCAGCTGATTATGAAGGGTAAAATCGAAGGAAAGGGGGTCCTGGTAGACGACAAATATCCTGATTGAAAAACATTCGCGATTGGACCGGGTTAAACACACAGACGCTCTTAAGAAAAGCAAAAGATAGAGACGAATTTGCAGTGGTTACACCAACCGTCATTAGTGGAGATAGCACAAGAAGAAGATCTAATTCCTATAAGCATACAACTAGAGACTAATATGATAAGAGAGGTAGTAAGATCGTACAATTATAACGGATGACCAGAAGGCCCAAAACGTTAACTGATGAGCGAATCGTCGTTACTTTTGGCTCAGCGTGTTACTGACTAATAAACAGAAGAAAACACGTCTGGGCATTCTGACATTATCGAAGCAAGCATTCACAAGGATTAGGGAAGGCTCTCATGACAACTAGCTCACTTCAATCTTGACACCTTAGGCCACACTCTCTGACGCCAGCTGTCATCTTTCGCGTCATATGCTAATTATCTTCTTTTTCTATCTGTCAAATCCTCTTCTATTTTCTCTGAGTCAAAATTTTCAATTCTTGAAAAAAGGCTGGTAACCAGATGAAAAAGAGGATATATGATATATGACGTGATAGATGACTTATTACAGATGCCGCAGATTGTGACGACAGAGAGGGGATTTTTTGCTTTCGATCATTAAAGTATCAAGTTATATGCTGAACAGCTACGTATTATCAACTTTCTTGCAAAAGATGAACAGGACGATATATAAAAAACGACCTGCTTTAGTCACTCCATTCAAAATCAAGCCATTGATTTTGAATCACAATGCACGCCCCCATAAGGAGAACATTGCAATTGATTGGCTGCACAAAGATGACTGGGAAAGACTCGTCTCACGCTCCATACAGTCTGGACTTGTCAGCAACGTATCTCATGTTTAAATAAAGTTCTCTGCTGTGGCTAACTAGCACACTTAGAAGCTGAATAAAAGTGGCGAGCTGACTGGCATAGCAACATTTTCAAGAGGTTGGTAATCGGTGATTGAGAAGCGTAAGACATTTTATGAGTATAAGAGTTGCATTAAAGATATTTCTACTTTGAATAATACAATACTGTGCATTACTTCTGAAATATTCGTAGTATCTCACGAAAATATAGTTCAAATTGTATACTTGACCCACAAAAACGTCCCAGCAATTCGGCTCCAGTCTCTAATATCCATCGCTGGCTAAGGTTTGTAAGTATCTATGATAAGTATCAACATTATCATGATTATTCTGATTCATTCGTCCGGCATTCTGTTACTTTTGATTGACCAATTAAGGATAGGTATAAGTGAATATTCATATTCACTCCAAATAAAAACTAAGCTTTCCTATATATGCTGCCGTTTAAAATATTCCGGTTACACCGTTCTCAATCAAACACAGGTGCAAAAAATTAGATATAGATCTCTTACACAAAAAACGCGATACCTGATTAATGAACGCATAGATAAAAGAATTTGAATCGGGGAAAAACAGAGTAACCTTTTGATAAAAGCTGCGTCGCTCGGCCGTTGATCGATGCGGCTCTAATTATCGCGTTATAGCGCGACTTTTTCGAGTCGACACACGCTGGGCTCACAAAAGAACTGCTCTAAACGCATAATAATTCGTTTTCTTGTTTACTATTATTTCGCGTTATATAACACGCGGAGACTCTTTTATTTTGAGCCTATTTTTCATGGACAATTTGTAATATCCGTCGAAGGTAATTGTGTTGGCTTTGTCTGTGCTAGGCGACTGATTTGTCACGGTTCTTATCAATTTTGATTAAAGCCAGTGATGGTGGTGTTAAGGCCCATTTTATACATTTTATGAACCGTTTGGAATGGTCGAGATAATGACGCAAGGAAATAAAGGAGAAAAAACTTTAATTTGGTCATGTATTTATTGTATTTATGCGGATATTTGTCAAATAGTTTGAAAACTTCGCAAATAATAAATGTAAGATTCATTAATTGTTATCATTCATTATCATTCAGATTCAGTATTTTTGTAGATATCAAAGAATTTCCCTGTGACGATAACTTTGCGTGTGATAAATTTGTGTCTGACATATATTTTCCTGCATCACACGATTAGTTAAATGTTTAAATTGTCACAAAAAAATTCTCAAACAAAATATAATTCTCTAAAGCAGAGTTGTTAAAAAGATAATTATTGTATTAATACGTGCGATAAAAAATATAAAATCAATCAAATACTTACTCTTCATGATTTGCAAGCTTCTTATTCAGTCTCGGCGCTTCCTTTTTAACGAACTGTCCTTTCACGATCCTGGCTACCGCCGTGGGGGTTTCCTTCAATCCGAAACTAGTTACGTAGTGTCCCAAATTGGCCTTTTTAAAGTCGAATATTGGTCGCATTTTATTGGAATAAGTGTTGTAAAATCGCGACCACGATGAGTAAGCTAAAACGGAGCTAAACTTTATATCGTAGTTTAAATATAAATGAAGATAAAATATTTAGTAAGAGCCAAAACGAAATAACGAATAAATCATTTTTATAGTAGTTTCAGTTGACGATAACGCTCAAAATTGTACAAATTTTATATAGTGTGTATCAGACAAATGTTATAAATTCGATTACAAATAAATGGGGGCGTATTGTAATTGTGCTGTGCATTTTTTCAATAAAAAGTTTTTATACAGGTTGTATCTTTACTCTCCATCGTTCGTTGTAACACAACAAACGGTGGAGAGTGTTTGGGGCACACAAATTGAACGAGACTCAGTTGCTTAAAGTCGGAAAAGATGAGGGGGAAAGATAGATTTGTTTTAGGATTTATACTGTTGAAAAATGGCTGAATTCTAGAATTTTCGTCTTTAATTAATATGACAAAGTAACTGTGCTCTGTATAAGTGCCTTCTTGAACTTATGGAAGAACAAAGAAAACATAAAGCAAAAGACATAAATAAATACAAAGAAATTCAGAAAAAGATCAAAAAGACAATTCGAGAGGCATAAGAGAGGTGGCTCTCCGACAGATATAAGAAAGTAGAAGATCTGGATAAAAAGTATAATAGCTTTAATTTCCACAGAAATCAAAGAAATGACAGGTTCTAGAAAAATCAAAAGATCGAATATCCTTAAAAATGATAAAGGAGATATTATTACTGATATGAAGGAAAGATTATATCACTGGACCAATTACATCCAAAATAATGAAAGAGAAGACCACCACTATTGGACCACCAATATTACGGGAAGAAGTCATCTATGCCATCAAAAACACAAAAGAGGGCAAAGCTACCGGACCAGATGATGTGCCCATCGAATTATCAAAACTCATTAATGAAGATGATTGATGTAAGGTTGAACTCTTTAATCCAATATATGAGACTGCCACAATCCCCAGACAATGACTGCAATCGACCTTTGTTGCAACACCCAAAAAGTCAAGTGCAATATCCTGCTCAGATCACAGAACAACAACTATAATGAGTCACACACTTAAAACATTCAAATTCTTGAGTATAAAATTAGTGACACACAATTCAACTTTAGAAATGGTATGAGCACAAGAGATGCTTTGTTCGCCTTGAATATGCTGGCCCAGAGATGCATGGATATGAATCAGGACATGTACTTATGTTTTGTAGATTTTGAAAAGGCATTTGATAAGGTCCAACATAAAAAGCTTTAGAAATATTAAAAAGCAAACATATTGACAGTCGCGATATAAAAAGTATATCTAATCTATAGTGAAATCAAACTGCCAAGGGTAAGAGTTGACAACCAGAACACCCGAGATAACAAAATACAGAGAGGAGTCCACCAGGGTTGCGATGATGACCTGCCGAAACGTTGATATGATTTAAATGGAATAATAAAATCTAGTTCCAAATTTAACAGTAAAAATCTTGATATAGATTGAAATAGAATTTGAAAAATTGGATATCAAATAAAAGACAAATTAAAATTGGATCATTTTTCCATCTAACATGAAAATATATAATTCTACTTACCACTACATGCTGCTCGATGCAGCTCTTTATCTTTTTCTAAAGCGCTTTCATATCGCTTTTGAAGAGCGGTGGCAGCTTTCTCGAAGTCAGATTCTTCCATTATGACACTTAGACTTTCTAAAAACCTGTCTGTGTCTTGTTTCTGTAAACTAAAATGAGAAGTATTTAGTACATAAGACGACGAGTATTTAATATATTGTTCGCATTCGTTTCTTTTCCTTGCGCCGTTTGAGCAGTAGAATTGTTTAACCTACTTTTAAAATTTTCTTCATTGTTAGACTCTTCTCTGTAGCTTTAGCTTCTTTTTATTATTTGACAAGTCATCTTTGAACTTTTTTTTTTGTTTTTGGAAATACAGCTTTCTTATTGCGAGCTACGGACGGAGAGGTGATTCGTACAGAGGTATGATAAAATAAAAACGACTCCAACAATCGCGCGACCAAACACTACGTGTAGTAGTAAACACAATCTCGAAAACCTCGATAACTGTCGGGAGTATTTTTATTCTTTTAACTTCAAAACATCGCTTTGAGACGATTTTAAATTTTTATAATTCTACGAAACTTTAGGATGCTTTACACGATCAAACTTTTATAGATATAGATTTATATATGATGAGGTATAATAGCAGATATAGCATGACCAGTGCCAATTAAAAAAGTATTAAACGAGGAAATATAAGAGAAGGAAGAGAAGCATAAGGATAAGTAAGTATAGAGGGAAAGAAAAATAAGTAACAGGAGAAAGAATACAAAGGAAATAAAACAAGGTAACGAAAATATTACATAAAAAGTAAAAAAAAAAGAAACAAAATCCACTTACTAAACTCTGTGCTTTTCCATTTCGGTAACGAAATCCTGTTCTTCATGCGTTAGGAATATATAAGACGTGCCTGATTTTCCAGCTCGTCCCGTTCTACCAACTCTGTGAAGATAGTCTTCGATGCTTTGAGGACCGTTGTACTGTACAATACAATCAGCGGCTGGTACGTCTATCCCTCTCGCAACTACGTCCTTAAATGAGAAAATACTTCTGGTTTTCAAAATAGGCTTTGTATGTTATAAAAATTAGTTAACAAATGCATACGATTATCATTATGGCAATTTTAAGTAAATTATTACCCTTCAAAACGAAACTTAACCTTTAAAATGTAACCTTTTATCGTGGAGCTGGTAATGAGCTGAAATTGTAGAGTCCGAAACCAGTCATCTTGGTTTTAACAAAACCAGTTGTGAGAAGTCTTTTTTTATTATTATTATTTATTTATTATTATTTAACAGTTTTACTGACCCATTCCCAAATGATCTTGTTACCCTATCTAAAAATCTGTAAGATTTGCTTGTACCTCTACTAGTGTTTCCCAAATGCAAGAAAAAGACGAGACTTACATAGTCTTGGTTTTGCCCCAATACAACACATATTAATACAACAGTCTTGGTCTTGGTATTGCGCTCCCGGTCTTGGTATTGCAGCAAGAGTCTTGCAAGTCTCGTATTTACCCATTAGCCTATTGCTATTTATTAAACGTTACTTTAGATCATAGAAGAACAACGTAACAGAGTAGGTACATTTTAAGCTTGAATTGACATAGTCATAATAAATACCAACAAAATTAAGAAATGTCTAAACAACTGACACTGGTTTGTGCCCACGATCTAAGCGATCTGTGCCTATGCTCTAACTAACTGAGTTATCTACCATGTCCCACGAGAGTCAATCTGTTTCTTAATAAACGTTTGTATTTAATAGATAATAAGACTCGAAGGAAAGCTCAATTGAGAATGAAGTTTAGTGATGTCGAAAATGTAACTACTTGTTAGTTTATATTCGTTACTATCCAATACAAATTCAGTGCTGTGGGATAAGAACATTACGATAAAGACAAAAAAGAGAATATATAATACCCTGACAAGAAGTATCCTGACATATGGGTCCAAAAACTGGACAATAAACAAGAGAAATAGAGGTAGAATAAGAGCAGTAGAAATGAAGTTCCTAAGAAGCTGTAGACTTACAAAAAGAGACAGAATTGAAAACACAGAGATTAAGCGGAGAATGGGAGTGCAATCAGACATAATCGACTATATAGAGGAGAAGAGACCATCCTGGTACGGCCACGTCAGAAGAGCGGACAGAGGACGCTGGATAAACAAAATCACAGAATGGAGCCCGATCGGAAGAAGAAAGAGAGGAAGACCCCGAAGGTCATTCAGAGACGAAATCGACGAGGCTATGGAGAAAAGAACCCTGCGAGGATGGAGACTGGAATGACAGGGAAAACTGGAGAAAACGGTTGAGTGAAGGAAGACAGTGAAAACTGTGGAAATCCTTAGTAGTAGTAGTACTATCCAATACCCTTAGGTGGCGGGTCAATACCCTAAGTACCGAATATAAAATCGAGAATTATATATCGTTACTTCGATACTTTAAATATTTCGGTATTTTGATTACACAGTAGCCGGCATCTTTTATTAATGTTAATTTGTCTCGTTACATTTGAATATTGGTCGCAATCTTTCAGCAAATTTTGTTTAATCAAATGATCTCATCGCATACTTAACAGAAACGATGTTTAGTCTTAGGCCGATAAGAATTGTGCTATAGATTCCTCCTAACTAAATTATTAATAACTAGAAACCTATATTAGAACCCAATCTATAGGTATATATGTCCTAATAACCTTATTATAGACACACATAGTTTTGTTCTCGTACAAGCTCAAGGAGATATGTACAATGCTACATGAACTTCAGTTAGTGTCTGCCAGTGTGGGTCTTAAAATAAACATCTCCAAAACAAAATTCATGACAAACCTAGTACCTGGCGGAAATATCGATATCGGAGACAACGAAGTAGAGCGTGTGGAAAAATACATATATCTTGGACACAAAATAAAGATCACAAGAGACAACCAAACATGCGAACTACAAAGAAGAGTAAACCTAGCATGGGCAGCCTATGGAAAACTCAAAGACATATTTAAAAGTGATATACCAATTTCTTTAAAACGTAAAACATTTGACCAATGTGTGTTGCCTGTGATGAGAAAATAGCTCAGAGGAAAATGGAAAGATCAATGCTGAGTATATTGCACAGAATTGCCACACTGAAATGGAACTGGGCCGGACACGTCGCCCGAATCAGTGATGAAAGGTGGACGAAGCGATTGCTTGAGTGGAGGCCGATGTTAGACAAAATAAGTAGAGGAAGACCCCCTACACGTTGGACTGATGATCTCAAGGACATGTCAAGAATTTTGATGAAAATTGCTCAAGACAGACCACCAATGGACAAAAATGAGGGAGGCCTATGTCCAGCAGTGGACGCAAACGGCTGGTGATGATGATGAACCTTATTATATGTTTTATCAGTTGATGTATTTTAAAAAGTTTTCGGTAGGCTATTACTACTATCGGCGTCGCAACGCAAGGTTATTTTATGATTAGAGATCAGCTATTCCCAAAATCTGGACAATTAATTTCAGAGCGAAGAAGTCGCCTGCTGGGAAAGAATGTAAAAAATATTTTATTTTCACATTGTAATTATGACCTCTGAGTACGTGTCAAATGTCTCAATGAATATTTTGATTCGCTATGTATGCTTATGGTATTGTTCGTAATGCAAGTTCAATTTTCCAAATTTTTGTTACATATTTTTTTGCCTCCTAGAGTCTCTAAGCATACACCCGAACTACTATACTTCCTAAAACGACACTCAGTACTATCTGCAAGGCACAAGAGTTTCGCAGGCTTAGTCTTGTTCTTGCTCAAATCTTGCACGGTCAGTCTTGGTCTTGCTAAAATTAGGCGGTCTTGGTTTTGTGAAAACGCAAGAACAAGACCAAGACTGCAAGACCAAAACCGATTTTGGGCAACACTACCCTCTACTTATAATATATTCAAGAACCAGACTGAACTGTTTGGAGTCAGCCCATCACCTGCTTCTAGATCGTGCACTATTTCAAAGCTTTCGTATGGGGACCGTTGCTGCTGTTAAATCCACCGTTACTTTTACTAATCGAATATACTTTAAGAGGATGTTTAATTTCTATAAGATGTTATATAAGTGACTTATCTTTATTGAGTCATAGGCTTGTTTGAAACCAAAGAATATATTATGAGCATTAATATCGGGTTCCCAAGATTTATTTCTTGATAAAAACCAGTTTAATATTCTCTAACAATAATTTTACTTAACGGTTGAAGCCGTTTATTGTTTATTGTATGTTAAGATTTTATAAATTGAGCACAAGTGGGTTATATCGGGAAAACCTAAGAGAGGGATACAAAGTCTTTATAGAATCCAAGAAGGAGAGATAATAACACCCATTTTTAAGCTCTGCTAGGAACACAAGAAAATCTCTCTTTGGATCTACGGCAGAGTCCAAACCACCACCAAGTAATACAACCACCAAGAAACGACAAGGCGCCGGGATTGGATGATTTTCCCTCCAAACTGTATATATAAAGTGCCAAAATGCTTTATTCTTCCTCAAATAGTTTTAATTTCGTGAGATAACCCGTATTTATTGTCCGCAAAGTTCAAACTTCATCCCCATAACCGTTAATCAAAAATTCTCGTCGCTATTTTTTTGTTGTTTTATATATTTCATGTGTTCTTTCAACGACTGAGCAAGGGTGCCTTTGAGACACAAAGTGTATCTGTGTCCTAAACCTACTTCCTAGTAGCACGGTTCACTGAGTGATACACATGTTCAAATTAGGTCGCGAACGACTACTAACACAGACGCATACACTCATAACTAAAACCTGGAACAGAGACAATTGCTATTGGCTGGAAAACGGGGATTATTTGCCTAATCTATAAAAAAGGGTGAATTAATCTACAAAAACCTTAAATGTAATTACAGTTTTTCTTTTAAATTTTTTTATATTTTACATCATTTCTCCATTTTTTCTGAGGTTTGCAATCTTCGTTACGTTTATTTTTTCTAAATCGGTTTCTCTGCCTATCTCATTTTGACCGTTTATTGCTTCTTCGCCGATATATTTAACTACGTGGAAAGTGGAGCTTTAAGTTTGTTATCAAAATGTGTTTTATGGGTTTTACCTATAACAATTATTATCTTTGAAATGACCTTTAAAGACTTTTTCTTAATTTTTGAAAAAAAAAATCCAACTGGGACAATTATTTTTGGACAAAACTTGTACGACAATAAGGCATTGGAGAATCAAACGGTGGTAAAGTGTTGAATTATAAGCAATGATATCACAGAATTCATAACAGCGGCAATAATCTCGGAATATACATCTATAAATGGTAGGAACGCGTATTTCGCCGCGAGTGGTTTCTATTCACTTCCACGGAGTTAATTACGTTGGTGACGATTAGGCTTATTGGATTTCATAAGTGGCCGCTGAAGATGCCGATGTCCTGCTGATTCTTATTCCTTTGCCAGAAGAAACGGCCAAGGAGTAGCAACTAAGTGGATTGGGCTTGCATGTTTCGATATTTTTAACATCATTCACCAACAATTTGACGTAATCCTAATAAAAATTTACATTTAAATATCATAATTATTTACTGAAATAATGATTAAAATACTTTTTTACAGGTATGTAGCCAATATGTCAAAAGTATTCTACATTGGTGGAGAATATATACTGACGATTTAAGGTAAGTCAATAGTTTTTTGGTAGCATGCATATGGTCTTAGGATCGATTTCAACAAGAAAAAAGTCATAATCTGAATTTGAACTTATGTATATGTTCTCTATACCAATATTTTTAAAGTTTATTTGTTTGCAACTGGCAGCTCACTAAAAACGGAAATCTTCAAATAAAGGTTAAAGGTTACTGTCAAGGCCATAAACCATTGCCGTGCGGATGTAGTTGAAACCAATAAGGTTTTTTTCTGAATAATTACGTTATGTATTAATTTGTTTAGTTACATATACTTTAAAAATTATTAAAAAAGTTACCGACAGTTTCACGAAAAAAGCTGATATAATTCACTGGCTCCGACGCAAAACAATACCGTATAATCAGACTA